CCTCCCCACCATCCCCTCCTCACCCAGCCCACTTCTCCCCACCCAGCCCCTCCCTGCACGACGGACACAATAATCCCCTGTGGGCTGGTGTAACCAGGAGGTTCCTACCAGTATAAATCCCAAATCTCATCATTTTTCCCCCTAAAGTAGATTAAAATGTGACCTCGTCGGTTGACGCGACTGTCTTAATAAATAATCGACGTATGTTAATTTCAAATGTTCAACTTGGTAATTTCAACAAGGATGTCAAATACATGAATTTAATACGTGACAATATAATGATATTGGCTTGGAACCCCCTAGAAAGGGGCAGGAGAGGGTTCAGCCGAGCCTTATCAGGTGGCCCGGCCCGCAGGGTAGACACGCGGGGGGGGGGGGGGACACATCTCGCCACGTGCTCTCAGATATGTTGATGAACGTCCTGGACATTCTGAACACTCTGTTTAGACCGGCCCTCGGCCAACCGGCCCTACCCGGTTTGAGCCCAGACTTTGAGGGCAAAAATTATGACCCCACCATTCAACATCACCGCACGACCACCCAATTGGCTTCCTACCTCAATAACTAAATCGCGCACTTTCAGATGCGCTTCTGCGGCCATCTGGAATGCTCTCTCTTCCTATATCATGAAGCCACTGGAGCTTATGCACTTTTAATACAGATTGGACACTAATTTCTTTAGAACCTGCTTTTCGTGTTAAGTTGTCCCTCCCCCCGCACCTCCGATTAGCACAGGTTGGCAACGTACGTTGGGACAGAAGTTCAACATACAGTCAATACAACTCACCCCTGTTATTGTTGTTGTCGCGAGCCGCCTGCGCTATGTGGCCTATGCCTAATTGGCCACGTCTTTTGAACATTCCAGAATACTCCTTCCCTGTCTCTAGGGCGCTGAATTAGACTGCCTGCCCAGCTTGACCCCTCCTCACCGAGTTACCAACTCAGTACACACCCCTCTCGCCCACCGATCTCCGCCACATGTGACGCACGGGACTTTCGATCCACTCCATTTTCTATACAGGAAAGACTCTCCTGAGGCTCAAGACTAATCTTCAGAAGGATCCTAGCAAGTATTTTGCAGTCGGGGCCGATTTTTGCTGTTGCTGTGCGTAATCATCCGAATGCTGAAACGTTTCAGTATTCGGATGGTTATGGCCAATACAAGCGTTATTATAATGAAAGGCACTCTCAGGTTATTTGGTGACTTATCACAATTCAAAGTAGTTTATAATAACTCATATATTGGGTGGCACCGTGGAGACATTTGTGCGTCACAGCAACAATTACCTGGCTTCGATTCCCAAGGGCATCTTTTTTGCGTGCAGTTTGTATGTTTTCCCCCTTGTTACGCGTGGGTTTCGTCTGGGATCCCCGATTTCCTCAAATAGCTAAAAAACCTCATACACTGCAACTAGTATTGGCTGAAAACATCCCAAAGCTGAACATTTATCTCCAAATTATAGTACTTAGTTGGGATTTCACACAGCAGCAGTATCATCGATCATCGCCCCCTACTGCAAAAACTTGGCAGAACCCCTCCTGAAAAATATTTGACACTCAACGAGGCTATGCTTGGTTAACAAGCGTAGTAGTAATAATACATACACTTTAGTGCAGAAGTTTGTGTGCTATATTTCAGCTGCCATCCTCAGTTACCCCATAATGTAAGTGTCATTTTGTATAGAGGGTTGCCAAGCTGTCCAGGTTAACTCTCCGGGTTTTGACCCAGACAGTCTGGGAATCATCATCTGTGTTTGGGTGGCATAATTTGATTCGTATTGGTAAGTGCTATTCCGTTTGAATTTTATCCTAGGCTACTCACGCAGTTGTGGTAGACCTATGCTGAGTGATACATGTGTCCGGGTTTGGTCTGTAGTCCAAAAGTGGCGACCCTCGTTCTCAGAGGTGGGACAAAGTAATTGTTATGCAAGTCCAAGTCGAGTCTGAAGTCATCAAATTCATGACTATTGTTATGCAAGTCCAAGTCGAGTCTGAAGTCATCAAATTCATGACTCGAGTCTGACTCGAGTCCAAGTCACATGACTCGAGTCCACACCTCAGAGGTGGGACAAAGTCATTGTTATGCAAGTCCAAGTCGAGTCTGAAGTCATCAAATTCATGACTCGAGTCTGACTCGAGTCCAAGTCACATGACTCGAGTCCACACCTTCATTGTTATGCAAGTCCAAGTCGAGTCTGAAGTCATCAAATTCATGACTCGAGTCTGACTCGAGTCCAAGTCACATGACTCGAGTCCACACCTCTGCTCGTTCTACATAGAGTGATTCATCTTCACCGGGCTCCTGTTCTTGCCCACTGCTATGACTGCTCACTCGAGCGCGACTGTGAAGGCACGGAGCTCTTCTCGTAAAACCGTCGTCTGTAGCCCCCTAGTGGAAAACCTCCTGTGTACGGTACAACACAGGACTCCGGTTTCCTATCATTATTCAACAGTCGATAGATAATTGTTTATGCTGAGTCTGAGGAAAAACATTTATATAGCAAATAAGTACCAGGTTCACGGGCCATTCACTATGCAAATTATACCCGACTTGCACTGACAAGCAGATGTTCATCTGTCTTCCAATTTGTGGAGATGGGTGATGCAGATGGAATGTTGAAACAAAACCAGCCTTGTTTGTGAATATCACTGATGGTTAAAGGGGTAGATGCATTTTGGTCACAATTATTATTTGCAACGAATCGAGACTTTTTTTTACAATAATCACACGGCTGAACATATTATGATGTGTTAAATGCAGTTTTCAGCCACTTCTTTTTCGCCCTTAGTACAATGTAAATAAAAACAAAATTAACCCTTTAAAAGCATCGCTCAGATTATTTTTGACCAACATGAAATGGCTCTTAGTAAAGACACGAGCGTAATGTCATGTTACTGTCTGTGGCACTGCTGTCCCTCTGGAATAATTCCCCCACTCACAAACACGTGCAGATTGCTGGCTGAATGAAAATTGCCACTTTCACCAGCCTCGTTTAATAGGGACTTGCCTGAAGACCCAGAGGCAGGCAGGCAAGCAGGCAGAACAGGCCGATAGCTGGCTGTAAGCTTTATTGTCATACAAAGAGCAATCCACTTGTGCGAGGACCTGTCATTCCCGGAGATAAATACCGCGAGAGATGGTGAGGTGAAGCAAATTATTGTTATTAAACTCCTTGTACATTTATGGGTTTTCTTTTGCACAATGGCTTAAGTGTATTGACTCATACAGAGGCTTGCTATGGGATTTCATAAAATGTATGCATGAGGATAAAGCTACAGGAGGTATGAATAAGCCAATGTATGATGTAATGGATAGCTTGAGGGAAATTGGTATACATTACATATATAATTACCAAAAACATCAACGCCCTCATAAAAAAACACTGCCTTAAGAGAATCAATATATAATTACATGATTATAATGGCAAGCAAAAAGGGCCATTGCCCACAATGCCGCTGATATATATTATTTTCCACCTTTTAAGGCAGTGTTGTTGACGAGTGTGTTGAGTATTTGTAAATCGTGATTGTGCACCACCGCGAAACTGCACCATCACTAAATAATTTGTTTGCACGTCATTACACTTTCACGCAAAGCCACTGCCCTAGCCATCAGTGTAGTTTACGCCTGTCAACGCTTTCCAACAAAGCTACGTGTAAAGACAACCTCGCTACAAAGCCAATCTGCAAAGCCATAATTTGACCCGTATTCCTGCACTCGGGTGACATCGCACGCGAGATGTTACATCGCCACTGGCAGCTGTGCATCCTGCTGCAATCATCTTGCACAGAATGCGTTTGCATTGCAAGTAGGTGTGAGAATACAGGCGCGTGCTGCCGACCCACTCTTGCGATCGGCATGGTGGAGGTGGAGGCAAGGACATCGACTGAGATAGCCGACATTGGCCAAGCTTTGACAAACTGATGCATACAAATGGGTTTAACATGTAGTAGCACTTTATATACAGTATGCGTATTAAAAAAAATGGAGCACATTTAATCTAACGACACTCCACAAATGTATTTAAACGCATTCAATTGAAGAAATTTCTTTTTTCATCTATCGAATTTTTTTCTCTTATTCCCCCAATTATTTTGCAGTCGTGCTATTGGGGTCACGCCATGAACATATTTCTTGTATGGAAGTCTTGCGGCGAACGGTGCAACGCCACCTCGTGTCAGGGAGCGGCCTCCAGAAGATGTAGCATCAGTTGTGTACCGTTTATAAACTGACAAAAAATACTGACTTTTATTATTTGCCTTGAAAAATGTATTTCCTGGCAAACCGAACATGTTTAGTGCTCATTGCTGAAATGTACCAAATTAAGTGACACAATTATGGTTGTGCAGATGACGAAGAAACTCCCTTGATGCGATGCAATAGACAACCAAGTGTGATAAGACAACCAGGTGTAATCGTGTCTGGCTGCTAGTATTATATGATTGTATGTATATTATAACCTTTATTTCGTGACTGTGATACCCAAACTACATTTTATTACCTTTTTCCAGTGAAGATTTTTTTTAATCCACTTTAACTTTACATTCACCACTGCATGCTTGTGCACGCCCAGCCTGTTGTATTAGTGCACCGTATAGGTCAGTCATATTTTAAATTCGTAAAAAAGTTGTGATATCTTTGACTTTGGTAAAGGAGTTTTATTGAAATGTCAAACGTCTGTTTAACCAAGACGTGTTTTCTTTGTCTTTCCATCTCGTAGCGGAGACCAAGTAAGTAATATTTTCGTAACATCTGTCTCCACTAATGTTTTTTTTTACGGAATAGATTCATTTTTAAACACATTTCGCGTGTACAAATGCTTTTCGTCAATCATGCAAATACCGTGTAAATTATTTGGCGATACGGCGTTGGGAGTTGTGCACACAAGCACGAGTGAGAAAAACCCTCAACGCATTCCTCAATAACGCTGTGGCCTGAACAGGACAAATATACAACGCGCAATGATCCTTCTTTAGAGTATGTGTGCTGTGAAGATGGACCATTGCCATAAACGTCACCTGTTAAGTGTTGCTCATACTAATATGACCAATTGTGGGTTTTGCAACAAACATGCCATTTATGTTCCAACCGTAAATGCCATGTTTTTAAGCATTAACATGTTTTTGTGTGTTTTCAGACATGTGGACCCTCTGACCATTTCATGCCATTTGCATTGCATTAAAACATACTGCGGCATCATCCATGACCTCCGAGCCTGCCTGGATCGCAATTTTGATGCGCTTGCGTAATGTGCCAATCCGTCTAGCTTGATTTACGCAGTAACAAGCATGCTGCCAGCTGCTAACAGCAACGCGAGATATCTGGAGGAAGGCAAGTGCCTGGACGTCTTGAAATCGCCATCCCGTTCGGAGAAAAGCACACTAAAAACAACGTACCGTGACTTACAGGTTGTACTGTTGTTCTGTGGCTGCTCCCTCCTGTTCGTCATCATGTATTTCAGCCTGTGGTATTTATATTTACGGTCAGTGTTCGGACGCTAGATGGACACTAACGTATTGTAAAATACAGAAACGATCAAGATGCTTTAATGGGTGAAAGAAGAGGAAACGACGCTTTGGAACGCATAAAGGAATTTCTTTATCGAGTGAAAAATGCGAACAGTTTTTTCAAAATCTAAATGAGTTTTATTTTATTTTACATATCCACGCATTGGATGCTTAAATGTAGGTTGTTGTCACGTGGAACAGTTGTGGGTTTTTTTATGGTGTATTGTATAACTCACATTCACTGACAAAGATACCCTTTCAATATAAATGTTGAAACACAAGTTGTCAAAAATGAAGGTTAATGTTTTCTCTTTTTTATTTAAATGACATCGAGGAAAATGTAAAATATAATGTTCACTTAAAGTTCACGGAGTCTGAGGAATGACTTTGAATAGATAACATATCACATTTTGAGATTTGTGTTTTTCAAGATTCTGGTATTTTAAGTTTCAGATTTATTGAATGAGAATGGCATCTCTGCTCAATTACAATGTGTTAATCAGAGAAATCACGCTACTGCCAGTACCAATACATTGTAATACAATTTGCGTGAAAATGTTGACATGTCACACCAATCCGGTTCATTATGATGGAATTATGCTGGTGCAATTGTCTAATTTTGTGACACTCATAGGCTACTAAAACAATGATTTACAGCAAAAAAAGAGAAATTATAAACTATAAATGGTTCCGTTGTGTGTTTTTAACAATCAATATTTATGTAATTGCCTCTTGTTATATTGTAGGTTTTGTCTTTGCTTAAAATGCGACAAAATCCCCAGTTTACTGGAAAATCTAAAAAGATGTCTTACTTACGTGACATCTGCACTACTTCCAGAGCCAAGGCAAAGTCGTGTAAATAGACTCGTGGTGCAGGACACGCATGGGTAGCTGCTGTACAACAGCTTCATGTAAAGTGAACGTGTCCCCAACACATTATCATGTATTACCTATTCCTCGCCTCAATCACCCCGCTCTCCTCCTCCTTTGCGCTCCACCTCTTCCACTTCTTGGCAAAGAGTGCCATTACATCTACACAGATACGGTAGGACCTTGATGATGGCCCGCAGCCAACACGGCTGCTTGAGCCTCTATGTCCTTAATTTTTTCTTCAAAGCTGACTGACTTCTGGAGTGCCAGCAGAATAGTAAAATGTTTCGCGTGGATTCCGCATACTGTATCGTAAGGTAAACTGATCACGTTTTGCATACAGTTTCGTGAAGAAATTCCTTGTCCATGCACATGCATAGAAACGCATTGCCACATTACATCTGGAGGATTCGTCCAAAGTTTTGCCAAAATTACAGCTCCCCATCCCATCCACCGCTCTCACAATGCCATAGCTGATTGGCCGTGTCGGGTGGTGGAGGGTTACTACACATTTATAAACAACACGATCTAACCCAAAAACGTTTATTATGAATAACTATTGGTCGCGAAAGCCTATGTGTTAAACTGGACACAACATTGGGCTGCACTCGCTGAGCTCTAACCACATTTTTTGCCGCAGGCCTAAAGCCTCACGAAAATACTTTTCAACAAATAACAAACACTTCTCAAACAACCTCCCACGACCGATCGAAAGGCGTGGGGGGGGGGGGGGCCTCCGTCCAACAGCTGATCGATCGAGGGCTGCACGTAGACATGACGAAGCGCAACAAGTACATCATGTGACCTGTCGCTGGCTCAGCTGAGGAATGTCGGCCGTGATGCAGCGGGGTCCTATAGAATGTCTCCTCTCCTGCTTCAACGATGACCCAGCAGCTCTAACTCTCGCGAATTCATTAAGAGAACATTTAACGTTATTTTGGTTTATTGTGATTTTAGGACTCAAAGGAGTCCCCCATTAATCTGTTGACAATGTTCAATATAATTTCAAAGCAGTCGTGTGTGTATAACAAGTATATTGTATATATTATATCATATCTAGCAAGGCCGCAGCCATGGAGTCAATATTGGGGGGGGACCAAATTTTCCAGGGGGTCTGGGGGTCCCCCTCCCAGAAAAAAAATATTAATTTGAAAACGAATTTCCTGTCTAAAATGTAAATTCACTAACACATAGGATGGACTTTTTATTTATTTTTTACAATAATGTCTAATAGTGTATTGTATTACATTGCTGTTTTTTCTTTTTAAGCTTTTCTTGTTTCATTGTATGCAATGGCAGAGATTAGGGATTCATAAAGTACAGCCATAACCACAATCATATAAACAGAAATCTATTTTATAGCAATATATTGGGGGTGGGGGACATTTTCAGCATATTTGAATATTAGGGAGGATGTGTCCCTCACAATATATATTATAATTATGGCCTTGATATATAGTATATCATAGCGGTCCGTTACAGTGCACGCGAAGCATTAGCACAGTGCCTCACAAGTACCAGGTGTGCCGCGGTGTTTTCGGAGTTTTCGGCAAGAAAAGCACCTCACAACAGCACTCTTTGCAAGCCAGGCCAGGCGACAAACTTTCCGTGTCGTTCAGTGGCCGATCCCAGCCTCATCCATTGGCTGCCATAGGCGCATGAGCAACGGCAGCAGGCAGCCTCCCTTACCCACCCATCCCCTGGGCCCTCTCAGCTCCCCCGTCAGTGGCGAGTTGGGCGAGCGGTGTGGCACTCGAGCGAGTGAGTGAGTGTCGCGGGATATGTAAATAAAAACGTCTTTTGGGAAGCACGATGATAGAGGGACGAAATCAAGTCGAGACCCAAAGAGTTTCTAGAAATGTTCTGGTGACCTAAAAGAGAAAACTATACATCGAGAGAATTGTGAGTAATAAAATGTACGCGTTTTATTGTTGACATTTAGATGGATGGTATGAAGTGGCAAACGTACCTCAGAATAATTTAAATCTGATAAAAAAAAAAATACGTGAAACATAATAAAGCATTTGAGCTTCGGATAATATAAATCTTAGACCATCCCTCGCTATTGGCGAAATTTACTTTTTTTCAATTACAGCCCTTTGTCAATCCACTACTGATTGCACTGTGTCGGTTATCAGTGGGGTTATTTAACCATACCTCACACCAATGGTCAGTACGGGTTGGTGTGGAGGGATGCCGAGCAAGGATCGATTAGGACTTTACTTTTCTATGGGGACCTCATTTGCCAGTAAAAATATGATAATTGGTTCTTTACCCCCGAGCTCTCATACTCTGATGGTGCATTGTCCTTGAGTTGTGCGCCTTTTGGCGTCATCTGGTCCAACCCATATGAGACTAGGCTCGAAGGAAAGCTGTCTCGGTTGTGGACCAATCAACTTCAAGGACAGTGCACATCAGAGTTATGTCTTTTGTTTGTATTTATGACTGCAGGTATTGCGGTCTATGCAAACATGACTCCTTGCAAAAAGGTGTCAGTTTTGTTGCCAGATAGAAGGGTAAAGAACCAATTATGACATTACTTTTGTCACTCATTCTCACTGCAGCCGGCCAGGTATCAAACTCAGGTTACCAGGTCCATAGTGTGGTGTGCTAACCCCCGTGCCACTATGGTAAATACATGATTGCGTTATAAATCGCTTATAAATCCACGCATCACATGCACAAGTTGAACGTTGGAAGACATTAAAAATACATCAATCTCGAAACAAAAAACATATCTAGGCATATTGTTGTGGACACACTTAATATTTTAGCCCAGTTTTGAAGTGTTCAATTATATGCTCATGACTGCTGCGTGTGAGTCATACTAAAGAGGATCTGTATGTGTATTATGTGAGAGGCTTCATGAATGCTGAAGAGGGCAGCTTAATCGCAGCGCTGCCCAGGGATATGAGTGATCAGGTTGGGGGTGAGATTGGATGAATGACGGTAAATCCTTTTGCTCCCACACCCCCACAAAGACAGCTCCACAAACATTCTTTGAAAGCATCAGAAATCCTGCTCCTACCCTAGGGCACGAGTTGAAAACACCAATATTAAATTAGATTTTTCATTTATCATGCTTCCATCACTGATTTATTAACATTTTAAGTTGTCATTATTCGTCTTATTCACTCAGTAATACGTTCACTTTTTAACTTCTGGTTTTTTATATATCCACTCTCTCCATTAAGACATGAATGAGATGTAATTACATTATTGAGGTGTTTACCAGCAATAAATAGAAATAATATTTTATTGTCATTAGCCAGTGCTCGATAAATTATCTCCCCACAATGCCGATGACATCCTCATAGTTGTGTCGTGCCACAACCTATACTACGCCTGTACTTGAGACTAGTTTACTATTATTGAATTTTTATTTTACTAGGTGAGCCCAACTGGGTTATATATATCTCTTTTTTTAGAAGCCACCTAGCCACAAATGATCGCTCAATTAAGTGGCTTATCACGTGGAATGCTATAGCGGCCAAAAAACTATAAATGCATGTTTCTAAATGTGAAGGGAAAAACTAAAGGACCCGAAGAAAAATATCTGAGACCACGGGGAGAGAGACATGCAAGCTCCAAATATACAGGCGTCAGGGTTGGAATCGAACCCACGACCTCCTGTACACCAGCTCAGGTAGTTAACATCTCGCCACCGTGTCGCCCCTTGAGCTGATCTCATTAGTCCATCGTCACAGCGGTTAACCTCTTGGCAAAATCCTCTCCTTTGGCAGCAATTCCAATATCAGTTTCGATCATTGGCTGTCGACCCTTGGAGCAATCTGTCCTGCCTAAACCCACTTTCCTTAACAGTCAAGATGATGTCTCTCATTTGCATTTCTTCCCTGATCCATGTTCCCAGGATGCACCTCTCCATGCTGTTTTGCACAATTTTCAGCTTTAGTACCATTTGCATTTTTTTGTGGCCATGTGTCTGATCCTTACGTCATAGCAGGTAATATGCATTGATTTAAAATGTTCCTCTTCAGGCAAATTGGTATCTTGCTTTCCATTATCACATT